TAAAATCCATATATGAGAGAGTACATGTGACTGGGTTACCTCACTCAGGATGGTTTCTTCTAGTGCCATCCATTTGCCTGCAAATTTCAGGATTCCATTTTCTTTCTGCTGAATAGTACTCCATTGTGTAAATGTACCATATTTTCTCTATCCACTCTTCAGTTGAGGGGCATCTAGGTTGCTTCCAAGTTCTGTCTATTACAAATAATGCTGCTATGAACATAGTGGAACAGATGTCCTTGTTTTATGAATTCTGACTTAATTATTAACCCATAATTACACACACACACACACACACACACACACACACACACACACACATTGGTTTTTCGAGACAAGAAAGAGTTTCTCTGTATTGTTTTGTAGGCTGTCCTGGAACTCACTCAGTAGACCAGGCTGGCCTCGAACTCACAGAGATTTGCCTGCCTCTGCCTCCCGAGTGCTGGGATTAAAGGCATGCACCATCAACACCCGGCCACTAATATATATTTTTATAAAGTCTTATCTTACTGAGAACGCCAAACTTGTGTTCTCTCCTCCTGGGATCACATGGTGACTCTCTTCTCTTGACTACATTTCCCAGGATCCTCCTGGACTCCTAGTCCCACCTATCTTGCTTCCCTATTGGCCAACAGCGATTTATTTATCAGCCAATAACACAACATATACACAGAAGGACTTCCCCCATCAGAAGACACTACATACCTTGGCTGCAGGAAACAAACAAATAAAATCAATCTTGAAGTGATCAGAAAGATATCCTCCTGCTGGCTAGTTAGCCCTCACAGCATTAGGAGGTGTCATACAGGCGCTGGGGGGAAATGCATCTGTTGTCTTATCCAATAGTGGACCCTGAAAGCTACAATTTTGACCTGCCGGGCAAGATACACCAACGGATATGGCAGTGGGATGACTGCTATGCGGTAACCAATGCCTTTTTAAATTTTTATTTTATGTGCATGAGTCTTTTGCTTGCATGTATATATGTGTACCATGAGTGCCTGCTACCTGAAGAAGTAAAAAGACAGCACTGGATCTCTTGGAGGCAGTCTTACAGATGGCTGTGAGCCTCCATGTGGCTATGTGGGCCCTGGGAACCAAACTCGGGTAACTCTGCAAGGTATCAAGTGCTCTTAATGCGGAGCCACCTCTCCAGTCTCACCAATAACATTCTGATTGGATCTGAGACATGCTCCATGGACTAGAATTCATGCCTGGGCTGTAAGCTTTGGCTTTTATTTGCTGTTGGGCTTTTTAACATATTGGTCTGATTCTTGGATATAAGGACAGAGGATGGTTATCAAAATTGACTTAAGGAGAGAAACGCCATTTGCAGCAAGAAAGTGACAGAAGTGAGTCTGTTTGGGACAGGCATGATTACATTTCAGTTTGGGGTGTGTGAAGTTGGAAGTGCCTAAGAAAACCAAGAGGAGATGTAGAGAAATGCGAGGATTGGTTCCCAGATGGAAGACTGTAGTGATCTGTCTACTCTTGCTCTTTGTGCCCTTACTAACTCACCATGGGCAGTTTTAAAATCTAAAATTGGGCAATGCTCCTTCAGAGCACCACACAGCCCACGGCCCTGGGGTGCAGAGTGCCACACAGCCTGGGGTGAAGCTTCAGCTTCTATCCACATAAGTTTTAATGTGAGGCGGGTTATGCTCTACACTCAGGAGAAATAAAACAATAAACTTAGCTATTTGAGTCACTGTGAAGTGTTTGCAACACACTATTTGGATTATAGACTAATATTGTCCAAGAGACCGTCAAGTGGAACTAAATGAAATGTCAGGGAGAATGTGTTTGTAGGAATTTTTCTAATCTCAATAAAAATACAGTGTTTGTTGTGTTCCTTCAAAGCATAAACTATTTCTGTCATTCCAGTTATTCAACCTTTTATGAACATATTATGAAATATGAAGTATGAAAGTATTTAGCCTCTCACATTTAATATTTTCCAAAACTTTTTTTTCTTGGGAGGCTACACAAAAGTTATGTGAGCTGGACATAATAGTTTTTGCCTGCAATGCCAATATTCAGGAGGCAGACACAGGAGGAACATTTCACGCTCAAAGTCAGCCTGTGCTGCGCCATGGGTTCCAAGCCAACCTGGGCTAAGAATCAGATATTCTGTCCTTAACAAGTCCAAATAACTCACTTATAGTAAGTTTGTTGTTACAGCAGATAAAGTCAAGATGTAGTAGCTACTACCTAAAATGCAAGAGGAGTCTGCATAGATACGGTCATATGTTGGTCCTGGAAGAGATTCCAGGTCTCAGGACCCTTGTGTCCAAGAGACAGATGAAAAATGGTTAGTGTGTTTAAAATTTAGGGAAGGATGACAGTCTAAAAATTAAAAATTTCCAGAACAACTAAGATTCAAGACTCATATGATTTTAGAGCACTTTCTTTGTAAACTAGATTTTATTTTTAAAAAAGTTGTTTAAATAGTAAATTATAGTACTGTACTGTACTGGACCTTAAGGACCCTGGTTTTTTTCAATGGTTTAAGAGTCAAATGCTATGTTAGTTGTTGTTGTAGCCACTAGGTGGCAAACTTTACTAAAGAATACTGCTGTCATTGCCAAGATATTTTTCTCCCTTTTAAAAAAAGTCAATGCCATTTGTATGCCAAGGATAAATATTGATCTATTACCAAAGTCCCATAGATTGCCTAGGCCTTCTCATTGACACCTATATTCAGGGGGTCTGGATCAGTCCCATGCTGGCCTCTCAGCCCTCAGTCTGGGGTTCAGGAGCTCCCTCTTGTTCAGATGCTCTCTCAGCTTGCACACTTGAGGGAGGGCCTAGACCGTGCCCTGAATGAAATGACAGACTCTGGAGATCCCCCCAAGGAGGGCCTCACTGTCCCTGGAGAATGGAGTGGGGATTGGGTGGGGGGCTGAGGGGATAGTGGAAGGGGGGGATTGGGAGGGTGTTGGAGGAGGGGAGGGAGAGGGAGCAGGGAAGGACATGTGAAGCAACCTTGTTTCTAATTTAAATTAAAAAAGAAAAAAACCCACAAACAAGGACCCAGATTTGTAGGGGTAGAGAGGTAAGGGTAGATCTGGGGAATGAATCAGGGGTGAATATGATCAACCTGCATTGTTGAAATACTCAAATAATTAATTTAAAATAAACCTTATAGTTTGGGGAATTTTTTTGCTTTTGTTTTGGCTCACATGAAATGGGAATTGTATTAGAAAACCATAAAGCATCATTAATCGTACAATGAGAAAAATGAAGTGATGACATAGGTTTGTTGTAAGAAAATAAGAACCAAAAGCCCACAGCAAGGTAAACTTCGAGACTCTGGCTTTTCAGTGTACTTGAACTGCAATTTGAGGCTGTCTTGGAATAGGGGCTATTGGAATTTCTGGTTTTGTTAAGTGAAGGGTAGGTTAGAATTGGAAGGATTTCATGAAATGGTGCCAAAAATCTGAAAATCCAAACAGACTCCAATCATGGTTTGGATCTAAGCATACTATACTCCAACCATGAAGTTCTGTCTGGGGTGGATATGGGAGCCATAGAATGTCAAATGCAATGAGAAGAGATGATTTTTAGAAAATAGTCTTATATTTTCCATCCTAGAATCAGTGTACATCTGGCCCTCTCTCTAGCTGGAACATTTCCAGAAAACTAGATGAGTTGGGTCCAAACCAGGAGATTCAGCCAGATACATAGAGACTGAGGGCTGAGCACAGGGCTACAGCAACTTTTAGTCCTGAAAGTCTGTATGGATTAAGGGCAGATTTTGTTGCATAACATTACATGGCCTTCCCTGCCTGCCTTTAATCATCATCACCTGTTACAACTCCACAGAGAAACACAGTATCCCAACACTCCAGCACAAATGCTGCAGTAGTTTAGAACTGGACTGGTCCCCAAAATGATCCATGATAAAGCTTGTTCTCCAATACAGTTCCCCTTGATGCCAGTACAACGTGGTGGAATCTTCAAAAGGTAAAACCTAGAGAGACACCCTTAAACCTTTGTGGTGTGTGGTCCCATGGCAGACAATGGAATCTCACTCCCTTCTTTTTTCTTTTCTTCTAGGCCACGAGGTGAGAAGTTTTGCTCTGCCATGCATTTCTGCCATGGTGCATTATCTCAGCACAGGGCCAAAAGCTGTGAGGCAATAGATCAGACTGGGACCTCCAAGCCTGTGAGCCAAAATAAACCTTTCACTTTATGATGTGATTACCTCTCAAATATATGATACAGTCACAATGAGTGTTAGCAATGCTCTTCGTGCGGCTGAGACACTTGCTGACTCTCATAAGCACTTGCTGGTCAAATCTAATACACCAGAGGGGATAGATCGAGGAGACACAGAAGCCTATCACTGACATTTCCAACTGAAATTTATTTTAAATGTGATTTGTTTTAATAAACGTCGACATGAGCTGATGAAAAAGCTTGCTTTAATTTTTTGTGTGCCAGAAAGAACCTAGCCTTGTCCTTTTTTTATACATAATGGAAAGTGAAAAGATGCTTGATGACAGGAGAGAGCATGCATAACACACTCAGTTCGATGCCTACGTACTAGGGCGTATGATGTGCTTGATTCAAAGAACTGCTTCAAACCACAGATTTTTTCAGAGCCCAAGGTCAAATTCCTAATTCTCAGTGTAATTCGGTCAGGATCTCATTTCTTTGTAATTCAGTGAAAAGAAAGCTAGCTAATGAGTAATCGAGAAAACAGATGTTTGTGCTGGAGACCATCTCCTAAGACTCAAGTGCCAATAAGTTTTAAAAACAATAAACAAGATACTAAACACTAAAGGTCACTAGACACATAAAAGTAGCAATCTCGCTAGAACTTAAAAGGCTCAAGAATGTCATGCAGTGAAAATTATAATGCAGAAAGTCCAGGTGGTCATCCTCAGACCTGGGATCCATGCTGGTAGGATGTCTACACTAATGTCACGCTCTCACCAGCTTTTGGGTCACCAACATATGAGCCGTAGATTTATGTGATTTCCAAAACTCACTAATGTATCTAAAAAGGAGACATTACACTTTTTAAATGTATGCATAAAGAAGATTTTAACATTTTTTTTTCAGAAGGACCAGTAGGAATGCTCAGCAGGTGGTATTGCTTGATTTGCAAACCTGTAACCTGGGATTCCACAGTGAAAGAAGAAAATGGACTCCAGAAGGTTGTCCTCTAATCTCCCTATGCATGATGTGGCATGTATGTACTCTCTCTCTCTCTCTCTCTCTCTCTCTCTCTCTCTCTCTCTCTCTCTCTCTCTCTCTCTCTCTCTCTCCTCTCTCTCTCTATCTCTATCTCTCTATCTCAATAAGAATTTAATTATTTTTTTCAAAATTAATACACAGAGTAACTAAAATAGTTTACAATAGTGACCTTTAGGGAAAACTCACAGAATACACATCTGTTATGCCACCTGTTGACCCAGTTACTCCACTCCCAACCAGCAAAGGCAGACATGAGAATAACTGACTCCCCAAAACATAACTGTAAGGACATAACCGTAAGGGTAATTCAAAGTCCCTTTCCCACTAAAGCAAACACTGTAAACCACACACTTGAGGTGCAAATTATTCGTTTCTTTAACCCCTGCATATCAAGTAGCCAAATGGCAGAGGGCTGAAGGTGAGCCAGTGAGCCAGCTTGCTCATATCTTGCATTGACCTCTCTTTTCTAAGTTCTCTCTCCTGTAATGTGAGAGTGTCAGTCACAGTATCTATGGCCTGTGTTGGTCAAGAGATTTGTTTTTGTTTGTTTGTTTGTTTGAGACAGAGTCTCAACTGACTGTTCTGGAACTCACCACATAGACCAAGCTGGACTCCAACTCATAGCAAATTACCTGCCTCTGCCTCCCTGGTGTTGGGATTAAAGACATGTGCCACCAGACCTGGCACTAATCACGTTATAAATGAGTGACTGCATATAATATATCATAGCAATGGTAGTGGGATCATAAGATATGCTGGGACAGTTCTTAATATGTTTTGAGGTATTTCCTTCATTATGTTTCAAAGAAAACATAAAATATATAACACTGTCACTTTCAAACAAAGCTAAGAAATTCTTTATGCAAATACATTTGGGTCATTTTCCTATAAAGTCAGCAAAGGACAACTTTGAGATAATAATAGTACATTTTACATGGCTAGGCATGCACACAGGGTAAGGGTGCTGGTCTTGCAAACATGTATTTGTACAGATATTATCACAACTACAGATCAAAACTTTTACAAAATAAAACTATTTCTTGCAGCTTACAAAGGGGTCTCATGTAGGAGAGTCCGGGGAACCATAACTCCAAGAATGAGCATCCTGCACTATAAATGGTGAATCTGGAATAAAAAGGCTTGGAATTAGGAGGAAAGAATACAATATGGAACACTCGCCTTTGCCATACAGCACACCAAGTCCTTATTTGAAGGAACCACTGTCAATCAACTAATAACCGGCACCAAGTTTTTAAGAAGTGCCACTTAATGGACTAGGTAAGTATGAAGGATATGAAATGGATGAATGTATGTGGTATCATTCCAAGAGAGAGGAGCTGAGCTGAAAGGATGAATCAAAGACACACAAGAGATACACAAGACAGCGAGAGCCGAATGTAGCATATACCATGTGTTATGGTCACCGAAGACACAGGATGGGGTGTTCTTTCCAATTTGACCTTGAGCCATTGCCAGCCAGAGCTCTTCCTGTACTGAGAATCTGAAGACCATCCCCTGCTCCTCCCAGGGCACCAGTGGGGAATTCTCCTTTCTTCCAATTGTTTTTTAAATAATTGGTGAGTAAATTTGATCTTTACATGCACAACAATTGTTTTGAAGCTACAAGAGCACAACGTGACTTGTCTCAACCCTGGTTTTCCTTCCCATGGTCAGTTCTGGCTCATGTAGAGGGAACTTAGGACTTTAAGTTAGGAGTACTCTGTCCATTTGGTAGCCCAGTATGAGGTCAGGAAGCCTGGCTCTGTAATCTTTAAGATTACTTCTAGATATAAGCACAGAACCTGCCCCTATATGTCCTGAATAGCTGCAATATCACCCTGACTCTGAGTAACAGCCAGAGATCCAGGACAAGTCTCCTGGCAAAGGTCCAGTATTTATGGTGCTTCAGAAACTAGAAACCTTGAACCAGACCAGTGACTTGTTGCAACGAATATTTACATGTAGAGCTGCCTGGGAAAATATATATTGTAGCACAAATAATAAAAACACAGAGATAGAGATTGGAGTTCAAGTTGAAGATCAGATAAGAAAGCGGCCAGTCACTAGAGAGTTCTCACCTCTACCAATACTTAGACCGAACGGGCGATCCACAATCCACTGAAACTCAGACTGTTCCCGACTGTACTGCTGCCCAGACTTAGCGAGACTGCAACATGTTTCTGCCTCTTTCTGTCTTATATTACTCTCTCCATCAAACCATATCACTCCTGTCTCCACCTTCCTAGTATTGGGTTGAAAGGTATTAGCTCTGTTTCTCTTTTAGACTGATTCGCTTTCATGTAGTCTAGGGTAGACTTGAACTCACAAAGATCCATCTGCCTCTGCCTTCTGAGTGCTGGGATTAAATGTATGTACTACCACTGCCTGGCCTCTGACTGGCCAGCTTTGTACTCTGATCTTGAGTCAATCTTTATTAGTTCGTAAATAAAGTATCACCACAATATATAGGATGTGACACACTGTAGTTTCCAATGCCACTATAATGAACAAATACTTGATGGAGAGATGGAAAAGATAGGGGAGCATGCTGCTGAATAGGGCTAACCGGGTGGTGTACAGCAGCCTAAAACTATGAATCAGCCTCTGAACATGCTACCCAGTGCATTGTCACCCTGGTTCTGAGCAACATCAGGATGTTCAAGATAAAGAATGGTTCATTTTCTGGATTGAATCACATGGAAAGACCTCTATGGTCCATGGTGCCACTGGAGGCCACTTTAGTATCTTTGGTCTGCTGCCACAGGTCATGTTGAAGCCTGGGGTTCACGTGGATGTCTGTGGTCTTACAGCCACCAGGCCATGTATTACTGAAGGCCCTGCCCCAAGTTATCACTGAAGACCATACAGAAGTCCTTGGTCTGGGCCACCACCTGAGGCCATGCTGATGTCAGTGGACTGTGCTTCCGCTGGGGGCCATGTTGATTGAGTGCAGACTACCTGAGGTAGTGTTGATATCTAGATCTGTGATGGCACTGAGGGCCGTGCCTGGGTCAGTAGTCCTGCTGTGGCCCAGGTCTGTGTTGATGAATGTGACCTTTGTTACCATCAAAGGCCATTCAGATGTCTGCGGTCTCTGCTGCAGCCTGAAGCCATGTTGATATCCTTAGCCAGTGCTGCCACCAAAGGCTATGTTGGTGTTCATGGTCTATGCAGTGCCATATGGCCGTGTTGAGATCTACGGTCTGCACTGCCACCAGAGACCATGCTGAGGTCTGTGGCACCTACTGATGCCGGAGACCATGTGGATGTCCTAGGTCTGTACTTCTGCTGACTGTAAAGGGCAAGGAAGCTACTTTTGCCATGGTATTAATGACTGTAGACACACTGTTAAGAAAGAGGGAAACAGAAAGCTTCTGTGGCAACCCCCACCCACCACCCCCATCCCTAGAAAGTAACAGCCTGGACAGAAAGTCATTGAAGAAAACTCTTAAAAACCTTGATAAGGATGCTTTCACAATTGATGGTCTCTGGCAGGGGTGCAGGTAGGGAAGGATTCAGTTTTCTTTAAGGGGCTGCCTACTGGGAGTTTGACCATGCTCCAACATGGGCAGCACAAATTGAACTTATTGTTTTGGTGGGGAGAGGTCACAAGGGTTGGTGGGGGAACCTGGAAAGTGAGTGAGCTCTAGGTTCATGATCTGAAATTCCCAAATAATCAATAAAAACTTTATAAAAGTAAAATAGATCTAAAAAGTAAGTTTAATAAAATTGAGTATCAAAACCAAAAAGGTAAGTACACAGAAAAGGAAGGTTGGAAGGTATGAGGTTTCTGTTTGTTTTTGCTGCTGTTGTTACTGTTTATGGGGGGTATAGGTCGAATTCCTACTAATTACAAATCCAGCATTTTTTCCCTAGTAAACTGCTTTTGTTCTTGTATCAGCAGTCCTAAGTAAGCAGTTATGTTTGTTCTACTAAAATTCAACAAACAAGAATAAGAGTCCATTGCTCTATGTCTAAAATCCATATATGAGTGAGTACATACCATGTTTGTCTTTTTGTGACTGGGTTACCTCATTCAGGTTTCTTCTAGTTCCATCCATTTGCCTGCAAATTTCAAGATTCCATTGTTTTTTTCTGCTGAGTAGTACTCCACTGTGTAAATGTACCACATTTTCTCCATCCATTCTTCAATTGAGGGGCATCTAGATTGCTTCCAGGTTTTGACTATTACAAATAATGCTGCTATGAACACGGTTGAATAGATGTCCTTGTAGTATGGATGCACATCTTTTGGGTATATGCCTAAGAGTGGAATTGCTGGATCTTGTGGTACTGATTCCCATTTCCCATACTGATTTCCAAAGTGGCTGTATGATTTGGCACTCCCACCAGCAGTGGAAGAGTATTTCCCTCTCTCCACATCCTCTCCAGCATAAACTGTCCTTGGTGTTTTTGATTTTAGCTATTCTGACAGGAGTGAGATGGTATCTCAGAGTTTTTTTGATTTGCATTTCTCTGATGGCTAAGGATGTTGAGCACTTTCTTATATGTCTTTCAGCCATTTGAGATTCTTCTATTGAGAATTCTCTATCTGTATCCCACTTTTTAATTGGATTACCAGCCTATAATCCACATTACCAGAGAAGCTAGAAAACAAGGAGGACCCTAAGAGAGACATACATGGTCCCCCAGAGAAGGGGAAAGGGACAAGATCTCCAGAGCTAATTGGGAGCATGGGTGGAGGGAGAGGGAGTTATGAGAAGGAGAAGGAGGGGAGAGGAAGACATGAGGGAGCAGGAAGATCGAGTCAGGGGAAGAATAGAGGAGAGCAAAAAAAAAAAAAGAGATATCATAATAGAGGGAGCCATTATAGGCTTAAAAAGAAATCTGTCACTAGGGAAATGTCCAGAGATCTACAAGGATGACGCCAACTAACAATTTAAGCAATAGTGAAGAGGTTACCTTAAATGCCATTCCCCAAAAATGAGATTGATGACTACCTTATATGCCATCCTAGAGTCTTCATCCAGTAGCTGATGGAAGCAGAAGCAGATACCCACAGCTAAACACTGAGCTGAACTCCTGGAATCCAGTTGTAGAGAGGGAGGAGTGATGATCAAAGGGGTCAAGACCAGGCTGGTGAAACCCACAGAAACAGCTGACCTGAGCAAGTAGGAGCTCACAGACCCCAGTCTGACAGCAGGGGAACCAGCATAAGACCAAACCAGGCCCCCTGAACATGGATGTCAGTTTGGAGGTCTGGTTAATCGATGGGGCCTCTGGTAGAGGATCAGTATGTATCCCTAGAACATGAATGAACTTTGGGAGCCCCCTCCACATAGAGGGATACTTTCTCAGGCTAGACACACAGGGGAGGGGCTAAGCCCTGCTCCAAATGATATGACAGACTTTGAAGATCCCCCATGGAAGTCCTCACCTATCCTGGGGAGCAGAAAGGGGATGGGATAAGGGGTTGATGGGGGGCAGGGGAGGAGGGGAGGGAGAGGGAACTGGGATTGACATGTAAAACAAGCTTGTTTATAATTTAAATAAAAAAAAGAATAAGAGGACAAGGATGCACGTTTCCTTTAGGTTATGTTCATATAGAAAATATAAAGGAAAAATACCATTTAAATGAGTTTAAATTCTAAAATGCTAACCATACACTATATTTCTTAAAATTTCTCTTCCATGTTATTAATAGTAAATTTCCCCACTTATCATCTGTGTATACTTTGTCACACTATAATGCTTGCTACACACACTAGTGCCTTTTTCTCTCTCATTTAAGGTCTATTCTTGTTTTGTTTTCTTTTTTGAGAACCTAGGGTACACTTCTGAGAGAAAATTCTTTTTAAATACTAAAGATAATCTTGTGTTCTAATTAACGATATTAAAGACTCATCCTATACCTTGGATTGAACACCTATATCTAGGACAATGAAGCCTTTGGAAGGATCAGAAGATAAGATGGGGGACATGGAGAATGGTCTGGGCTCATTCTTCTTTAGTTTCCCAACTTCAAGGAAATTTTACATTATTTCAGACATATTCACTGTTGGTTTAAGACCTTTTAAAACAGTTTGATAGCTTTTAATAAGCAATTCCATTGGTGTGTGTGTGGGGAGGCTACTGTTTGTTTTGGGATAAGGCAATGGGCAACACAATACTGCACTCTAAAAGCAGTGAATTTTGAACTACATAAACAATGATATCAATAATCGCCAATGTCAAGTGTCATAGTGAATGAAATAGCAATATTGTGAACTACTATCAGTGAAAGAAACATGTGAGTGACTTGGGTGACAAATAAGTACTACGTATGAAAACTATGCTGGGTAATGGAAAGCTCACTCAGATGAGCCTCCTATGCTTTCTAGTTTGCAAATGCATTTCTTGCTTTAATACTAAGGAGATGGCATGCTAGAAACTCATCTCCAAATGAATGCTGTTGCTAACTATACAGAGGCCAATCTCATTTTAAATTTGTTCAAACACATGAAAGAGAAGCAACCATAAATACCTCTCTAAAATGCTTCAATAACGTGGTTTTAATACTAGTCATTGCCCCATATTACCACAGATGCCTCTTTAAGGGTACATACTTATAGCTAAGAGTTAAGAAAATCCACCATAAAAGACTTTTCAAAATGTAACAAGACCTACTGAAGAATTTATTTTAAAACAATCATTAATATTTTGATATTGATTACATTTTTCACATTGTCAAATATTTTAAGTATCATGATCATAAAAACGTAAATACATTCCTTGAGCGATGTTGATAGCTTACCAAGGAAAACTAAAAACATGTTGAAAGTGCATTTTCTATTTGCTTTGTAGAGTGCTACTTTGAACTATTTAACTTTGTGAACTTTTAAAATCCCACATTCAATTTGACTGGGCACATATCTGTGGTCTAATAAGACTAATTTTAGATCTCTGCTATTTTCCCAAGCAGAAACACAGCTTAAGTTTTGAGCTTCTCTCTCAACCCCTGAGTACGGGAATAACCATTTTGTTTTCTAAGAATAAACAAATACAACAATGTAACTGGAACTGTGGTGCAGTTAGCAATGGCCAATCTCTTTTTCTCAGTGATGCACAAATATTACCCAGGCTATAGTCAGTGGCCTTTCAACAGGTAGGCCTCTGGGAAGCATTTCAGATCTCAGGTAGAGCTGTATCTTAGGTAAGATTACCTGTGACTACTCTCTGTAAACTTCAAACATTATGAATGTAAGATATAAACTATACTTAGGATCTGAAATGTTCCCCAGGGGTCCATCAACAGGAATAGATCACAATGTTCTCCTATGCTTTTTGTTTCACAAATAGATTTCTTTGTTCCAATAGCAAAGCCATAACATGCTATTGTAAGTAGTGGAAACTAAGAAGTGAGCCCTACTTAGAAGAGCATGGATGGGCTGCCATTAGAATGAATATTGTGATACCCTCACCTTCCTTCTCCTCTCCCTCTGCTTCCTGGCTACCAAGAGGTGA